ATTTTAGTTCCTTGAAGGGAAACATTTATTAGTAAATTATCATGGAAGTCCGAAATGTTATTTTTTTGGGGGGTGGGGTGGGGCAGGGGTGGAGGTTATTTTGAGTGGAAAATGATTTATTTATATTAATAAAATGAACTAGTTGACTAACCAATTAAATCTGCGAGCTTGGCTGAAAAGAAGAGAAATCTAACCTTATCATTATTTTTGGGTTTATACGGTCTTGACCTAATTCATATGCTTACTTCTAATTATGCATACTAGTACGTAGCCCATGCGATGCACGGGACAGAGATGTTAAATGCGTCATTACCATATAGTTTGTCTCTTAGGCCTAAAAAAAGAAGAATGGATCATACATTCTTCACTTTTCAGAGATGTTAAATGAATCATTTTCATATGGTCTTTCTCTTCGTCCTGAAAGAAAAAAAAGTAGAGTTGAATCATCTATTTTCCACCTCTTTTAACCGGAGTTGTTTTTCTAGGCAGAGCATTAAACTTGAGCCAGCCAGAGTTTTAAACTTGAACCAGTTAGCTGTAGCCTGTAAATCAATTAATATATTATTATGCAAATATAGTTATACTAATATCAATTTGATTATAGTATATTTATTTATTTCTTAATATAAGAAAAAAATAACAATTTTATTTATTCTTGTTCACCACATAATATTTAGTTATTATTTTATTATAAAATTTATTGTCATATAATGTCATTATTATTATTTATAAAAGTTATAGAAGTAGTCTTCTTCTTGTTTTTATTTTATGTAGCAAAAATATTTAATGTACGTTAATATTATTTATTAATGTAATTAATATAAATTATGTAAATAAATTATAAATAAAGCAAACGAATAATAAACATTAAATAATAAATTAGGTAATATTATTTATTAATGTAATAAATATATTTTATTATATCTACATTTATTTTTATTGTATAATCAGCTTGATATTAATTCCTTGTTTTAAATCACTAATAAATGATACGTTAAAAAATTATTTTTTATTTATGCATACAATATATATGAGTGTCAAATCGAAGCTTGTAAAATAAAAGTTAATTTAATATTAAATAATAATGGAGATATATCATTATATAAATAACAACACATGAAAATTATTTCAATTTATATAATAGATACAACTTATATCTTCGATAGTAGTAGTGAGGTGTGGTGAAAAATGGTACTATAGTGATTTTGTTTATTAAATTTGTGGAAGGAATATTTGTTAGACATTTCATTGTATTGCAATAAAGAGGTTTCCAAATATCATCATATTTTATACATCAATTTCTTCATCATCATTTTAGAGACTAAAATCTGTAAAATTTTCCAATAAAATCATATTTTACAGCAACGTAAAGTGTTACAATAAAATTATATTTTACACCAATTCTCTCCTCATCATTTGAATTGTAATTTACTTAACAATAAGTTTTATGAGTTCGCATTATAATATAAGTAGCACAACTTTGAGAGGATCTAATTAGACATGGCCATTCAACGGGTCCGGACACGCCCCGACGGTCCTCAACACCCTGGCCCGGGACCGAACCGGAAATTGCTTAGGGCCGGTTCATCGACCGGCCTGCAGAACAAAGAAAATAAGAAAAATGAAAAAAATAAAAACAACACAGCAGCCCGCCTTCCAGCCCGTGACCCGGCCCGGACCAAAAAAAAAATATAGAGCAACCCGGGATCGAACCGCGGCCCTCACGGTCCGGTTAAACGAACCGGCCCTTAGGTGGCCGGTCCGGGTCCATGGGCCAGGTCGGCCCGTGGCCATGTCTCTAGATCTAATATTAGAAGATCACCAAAGCATTTGATACAAATGAAAGCTCCAATGTCACAGACCTGTATACCAACAATTCATCTACAAATTACAACAACTAAAGAAAATTCAAGATTCGGGTTTATAGTGTTGTTCCCACCCAAATTCACACTTACACCACCAAGACTTGGGCTTTTATTATAATTCCAACCCACATTTCCAACAATATTACTTGAACTTTTGTTATAATTCCAACCCATATTTCTACCAATAATACTGACATTAGATCCCCATGTTTTGCCATCATTACTTGAATTACCAGTTTTTTAAAATGTTTGGCCATATATCCCATTTGGAACGTGTTCTGGCTTGCAGCATTACCAAAGCTTTTTAGAGAGGCATTGTTGCTACTCTTGTTCTGGCCAATTGCGAGCTAACCAGATCTCCAAACAGATTAGGGTTCTTATTGTTCACGATCCCGATACCCAACGCGAGGAGTTTCAGCTTTTCCCAAAAATATCCCCCACCGTAGATGTCGGCCCAGTTAAGGATCCCAACCCGGTCGATATCATTCGGCTGCAGGTTGATGGGTCCAGGGCGGCTTGTTGGGCTGATGAAGAAGATGAAGAAGACGATGCAGATGCAGGGGAGGAGTTCCCCGGCCATGGTCGCTGCCTCCTCACTGTTGGGGGCCATCACCAGAATGCATGCAAGAAAATTTCCAGCAAAGACTGTATTGGCTGCAACATGATCAAACAGGGGAAAATTCACAAAAGTCCTGTAAAACCCACAAGAAATCAACTAAGCTAAAGCATAAATGCTCAAACAAAAAAGGCAGAAATTCTACACACCAACGCTCATGGGCACCCAAGATTAAAACTTTGAAAAACCTCAGAACACTCACTAACACCGGAAAATTCACAAGAACACCGTAGATCTCCAANAGCAAAAAAAAAAGATGGAACTTTTAGGGCGCCAAATGGTGGAGCCCATGGATCCATAGCTCGAATTCATGATTTCTTAGCCTTCTTGCTCCCAGTGAGTCTCTTGTAATTATGAAAAAATGGATTGATGCCTGTAAACCAAATCTTGAACCAAAAAAAAAATAAAAATAAGAAGGTTTGGAAAAACTGCAGATCGGAAAGTATAAAAAATGAGATCTATTTACCGGAATGTATCATGAAGATCTCGCCACCTTCTTGCCGTCGCAGCTGCTCCTTGCACTGTCATTGGCCGACCGTCGTCCGAAACCTTGCCGCCGCTGCTATGGTTTTTTGGCTTTCGGAAATTTTCATTTTTTTTGGGTGAGACCTGAAGGAGAGGATTTTTTTTGGGCGAGATATGAGGGAGAGATTTTGAAGATATGCTTACTGCACGGTCAAAGCAGAAAATGTGGGGAAGTTGGTGGAGACTTATATTCATCCGAGATTTGAATACCAAATTTAACTAAATCATGGGATGGGATAGCATTTAATGCTTTCCAATTAAAAAAATAAATAAATTAAAAATTACTATTTTTGGGTTTCATTAAATTCTGACAGATTTTTTTACTTACTATTTCTGGTAAATACTAATTCTTATTATATAAGTATAGATTGTAGCAAAATTAAGGAGACCAAAATCTCTTTTTTCCTGTGTCCCTCCCCCATTTAATTACCAGAATCCACCTATCGCCCCCACATTTTTCACGCACAACCAGCCAACCCTTTCACAAACACCACACATGCATACATATGCACACAGACATATATAGGCATAGAGAAAAGAAAAAATAAATAAATAAATAAATAAGATAGAGAGAGAAAGAGAGAGAAAGAGAGAGACCCATCAACCCAAAAACATACATGGCGGAGCAGAACGCCTTGCCGGCGGCCAATGGTAACGAGATGGAGATGGAAGAAGAAATCGAGGACGATCGAGAACAGGTGGTTTCGAGCGTCACCCTCGAGCGCGTGGCCGCCGCCAAGAAATTCATCGAGAGCCATTACAGAAGCCATATGAAGGACATGCAAGAGCGATTAGAGAGGTTTGATTTGTTTGTGCTTTATATTTTTTATTTTTCATTATATTTTTACATACACATATGCATGCATGTTGTGGAATGTACATAACTGATGCACCCTTCCTTCAATTTTCCAATTTAATTTCCCCTGTCTTGTTGTCCACAAGATTACATTTTTATGTGTGTGCCCTCAATGAATTTCCCTAAAAAATACGTCTAATTGCACTTCACGCTTATTGGATTTTTATGTATGTGCCATTAGATCTTTATGTGTGTGCCTTCAAGATTAGATTTTTATGTATATGCCATCAAGATTAGATTTTTATGTGTGTGTCTTCAAGTTCAAGATTAGATTTTTATGTATGTGCCTTGAAGGTCAGATTTTATGTGTGTGCCCTAAAGATTAGATTTTTATGTATGTGCCTTCAAGATTGGATTTTTAGGTATATGCCTTGAAGATTGGTTTTTTATGTGTGTGCCCCAAAGATTTGATTTTTATGTATATGCCATCAAGAATGAATTTTTATGTATGAGCAAATCAAGTTTAAAGTTCTATGTATCTGCACTCAAGGTTGGATTTTTAGGTACGTGCTCTCGAGTTTTACATTTTCTACAACTGGTGTGAGCATGTTGTTTTTCATGGTGTTGAAAATTGAGAAGATGAGTTCACATCGGTAGGAGGTTTTGGGGGTGGTGAGTAATTAATAGGTTTGATCCAACTTTGTTGTAATTTATATTCTTTTGGCTGTATTAGTTTTGTCACACCCCGCCTTACTACTAGCTTTTAAAAATCAGAGTAAAATTTTTGTTTTTATTTTCGAAAGAACGTGCGAGCTGGGTTTTCGAAAATACTGACTTATTGCGGGATGTGGCAGATAAAAACTTAAACTGAACTCGGGCTTGCCCGCAGACATAATAAAAACATGCAACCAGACTGTCCGCTCGCGGATTATGGAATTATACATGCATAGTCTGTACTGTCTCGCACTGTCTAGAAAAACTCGCTGGCGGAAGCATCCGAAAATACGAATACATAACATGCGTACATAAACTGTATAAAATACACATGATCATAAATCTAGGACATAAAAATGCTGGTAAAATATGTCCGACTCTCATGACCACGCCGCGCCACATCTGTGCTCATCCGGCACGCTCGACTCCGTCTCCTGAAAAACACAATGGGGGCGTGAGCAAACCACTATGCTCCGCAAAGACCAGTACTGAACAAAACATCATCTATAATAACGTATCATGAAACATAAATATATAAGAGCTGAAACTGTAAACTGATCTCTGATGTCTGTTCTGATCTGTGGTCAAAAGACCCTCGGCCGTAGCCGCTCGTGTGCACACGCCGATGGGGTAGAAAGGGCCTCGCCCCTCCCAACGGTCATCAGGTGGGTATAAAGGCCTTGGCGACCCAACCCGGAACTAAACTGTCTCAAACATACCTCTGCCATGGTACAGATATTATCTATGATGTG